ACGTATTATTGTTTCATATTCATATAGTGATTTATTTTCCAGATACAACAGACTGAAGAAAGCGAGTACAGATCCGTGTCAAACGCATTCTTACAGGACAACAACAAAAAAACTGAACATCGAAACGATGGCACTCCAGACTCGGGGAAGGTAAAATATTCGGAATTTGTTGCCTTGGTGTTAAATATTGTACTACTACTATTACGTCATGCACCTAATACACAATAAATACACTGTGGGACAAAATAATGTTGACAAAGTTAACCTTCCAAAAATTTAATATTTTATGGCTTCTTTTGTTTTTGTTTATTTATTGTTTCTCACTCCTTGGCTTCATCGAACCATTATTAACACCATTATTGTACAATCCTAAACGGAATCGGAACAAAATATCTATAGAAAAAGTGCCAAAAACTGTAGGAGATTTTATTAAGCCTTGCAATTTCATGTAATCATATCGTTTGTGTATAATTTGTCTTTTACGAATAGATTAATAGATCAATGTCTTTTACGAATTAATTTACTTTGTGTCTTACCATGGTCAGATGGCAGATTTTTTGAGATTAAATTGTACGTGGGTGATTTTTTGACTAAAATGATAATTTTCATAGGTGGGAAATATACCATCAATGTTATCACCGAGAGAGGAAACAGAAGAAAAGAAGGTAAAATATTTTCAAAATAAATAATGCTAGGTATTTCTTTTGTTCTGATATTTGCTACGGGGTTAGCCAAGTTACATAAGTACTGTTCTTTATTCTGAGGCAAAGCTGACTTTCTACATATCGGGAACTAATGATAATATATACAAAAATCCGTTACAATATCATTGTCGGGAACACTAAGTCACGTGAGTCGTGACTTAACGATGATTTCATTTATTTTTATAGTTTTCGATTAGCGTTAACAATTGTAGAAAGTCCACTTTGCTGTCTTTGCAACTATGAGGTGGTATTTCACTTTTATTTATTAAAGCTATAAAATTCAACATTCGCCTATAAAATACATTTTGTTATAAAATACTAGCTGGTACCCGGCGTCATAGAAGAAATAATTACGGAAATATCGTTTTGAATTTGGAAGAGTTATATTTTTTAATTATAACTTTATATGATTTTTTATAGGAATGATAATAATGATATTATATAACTTTCCAATAAATTGACCGGTACGATACGCGCGCTACCTACTGTAAATTGAGTGTACTATGCCTAACCTACAGCTGTGTCTCGCCAGCCACGCAAAGTCAGGAATTCCCATTTAAAATATATTTACGTAATCTATATCTCTATCAGACCTCAATAATCTTTCAGCACTTAATTAGCACTTAATTCATTAGCATTTCTGTATGAAAGATAAAGATGGGAGTGTTGGCTCGAATTGTTACTGGTGACGAAACTTGCGTTCACCATTATGAACCTGAGTCCAAACAAGACTCTATGCAGTGTCACAAAAAAGGCACACCACCACCCAAGAAATTTAAGGTGGCACAATCGGCTGGGAAAATCGTGGCGACAGTCTTTAGGGACTCAGACGGAATTCTATTGATTAATTATAAAGATAAAGGTGTCTCCATAACCGGAAATTACTACGCATCAATCCTAGAACAATTCAAGGAAGCCATAAAGTAGAAAAGAAGGGGAAAATTGACCAAAGGAATCCTTCTTCTCCACGACAACGCGCCTGTTCACAAGTGCCATGTTGCGATGGCTGCCCTGCAGAAGGTGGGCTTCGAAATTTTGCCACACCCACCCTATAGTCCTGACCTGGCCCTCAGTGATTATTATCTATTTCCAAACTTAAAAAAAGAACATTGTTGAAAAAGTTTTCAAGTAATGAAAAAGTGAAGGAAACAGTTTCGGCGTATTTTTTAGACAAAGACAAATAATTTTTTTTTGAAACATCTGAAAAATGTATTTGGGTAGCAGGTGAATATATTGAAAAAGAAAAATAAATTTGGATTTTTATTTCCACTCCTTACCCCCCATTCCGCGAACTTAAAAACGCACCGTCGTACAATAAACAAGATTAACATAATATATTGTGCATAAGGATTACTATCAGACAAACGGCAATACAAGATAACAGAAGATACAAGACAGTGTGTCAGCCAAATCTGGAAAAAACACCATCAAACAGTAGGTTACTTATAAACTTGAAATTTGGCATAAAAGTAAATCATCAGGCGTATAGAAAGAAGAAAAATCTAAAAACTACAAATTACCGATATTCGGTAACGACAAAGTTATTGGTGCGGTTAGTATCAAGCATAGACTTGGCGTATATTCTAAGTCTACGGTATCAAGTATTGCACTTGACATTAAAAATTTTGTTCCTTCTTTGAGCTTGGTGCCTGTTATGGCCTCAACCTTATTTTCTACAAAACCGACAACCCCGAACATAGTTTGTACCAAACTTAGCCCGCTTTTTACATTTATGATTTTGATTTGGATATAAAAAATTTAATCCTTTATGTAACTGCAATTGTAACACGGCTTTAAAAAAAATAGGACAATAGGAGTTTGTTGCCGGTTCATTTCTAATTTCTAAGATGGTCTTTTATTGCGTACTGGTTTTGACGTTCTTAAGAGCTCTTAACAAGCCTAAATTATTTAAAGAGTTTTTATTATAAATTTGACAGCTTGATCCGTTGGGCTATCGATAATTCTAGTTCTATTGCGGATATCTTCATTATGAAGTCTTATCACACAGAGAAACTTCGAGTCTAGTTCCTTTATTAATCGCGCTTTGAGCGTACTTAAATTTCATTTTTCGGCCAGCAGTGAAGGACCGCGTCTCAGGTTTTTACCTCTAAAATTGCCGTTCCTGTAGTCTGTAGGTGCTTGTGATGATAGTTTGGTAGTATATTGTTGGTGTTGTACGCTATAACTTTATGCCATCTGGTGCCACAATTACTACTGACTGCTATCGTCTAGAACTGCGGCAAATTGTGGTGAAGAAGCAGACACTCAAACAACCCAGATTGGTAAACTGCTCTTCGACATTGCTTCTTTATGACAACGTCCGGTTACCTCTGCACAACAGACGATGGCAAAATAAGCCTAGCTAACGGTCAAAGAAACCCTTCCTTGTCCACCATATTCTCCAGACCTTGCGCCAACAGACTTCCACTTTTTTGAAGTTTAGATAACTTTTTGATATACTAAATTTCAATTCCGAAGAAGCAGTAAAGAACACGTTGAAACAGTTCATTGATTCTTGTGCAACAGACTTCTATAGTAGCAGTGCGGCTGCAACTAGTTTATTGTACGCATAGGACCGCCGTGGACTTATACTTTGACATAGGGGATCCCTGTGTATGTATGTCTACTCCCCTTTGATCCAACGGTTGCCCGTGTTGCTCTATGATACGTGACGAGAACAAGTGTCGTAATCCGTTGATTGACCTCTTGGTCGTAGTTAGACATACCGACAATTTGTCATAGTGCTCCCAACAACTACCGCCATAGGTGCGATGTGACACATGACACATTACTTTTGTTTTGGCAATGTTCATTTTAACATCTATCCATTATGAAACACTGTTGAAGTCATTCAGCATAGTGCTGAGTACCGAATTCTCCGTGATTCTACCATAATTACTGTGTCATTGGCAAATCGGAGGTGAGTGATGTAGTCGCCATTGATGTTGCCATATCCTTTTTAGTCCACGTAGTAGTAGCTTGAAAAGTTTTCCAATGCAGCGGTTGGGCTTTTAAGAACACTATCTCTCAGCAGTTAATTAGGTTTGGTGCTCTGGTTTTGTACTTGGATAGCATCATACCTTTACTGTACAAATACTTCAGCAATTATGCACTTAAGTACTTATTTTAATAATTTAATGTGAAAAAGCATCAAATAAATCAAGGTACCTATTGCTTGCTATCTGTGTAAATTCGAATGAGAGTGGAAGGTAGTACGGAAGGAATATACAATAAGTGATAATTTTGTAATAGCGCCATCTACTGTAAAAACTCTAAAATACTTTCTGTTTATACTGATTCTCGATCATTTTCGTTTTCTTTTTTCTTTTTGATGACGTGACGGTCCCGAAGGTAGGTAACGAAACGAAACGAAACGTTGTTCAACAAGTGATTGGTAATGGCGGATGGTTGGTGTTTCGCGTCCCGTAGTACTATTTATAACCTAAAATATAGTACAAGTTTTCAGCGATATGTACGCTAAAGTTTCGCAGTTGTGTAGATTTGTGCCGTTATATTTTACAATTGTGTCAATTTCGTACGGACTGTGCGTTGATTGAAAAATACAGCTTATTTATGATTTTTCAGTGAAATGATATTGCACACAAAATTTTGACATTCACACTGCTGATATTTCGTATTCGTCTCAAGTAAGGCCATATAATATATACTATAATCTATTTTTAACGTTCAGTAATTTTTTTATAATTTGGGAACGTTTTCGATTCATTGGTGAGACTAATGCGACTCCTATGATAGTTTTGCTTATGACAAATAGCTGTGTTACTTGCTGATTGTTGTACCTACTTACAATAAATATTATCCAGCATTCTTAAATTGCACGATAAATAACGTAACACGGAGATTCTAATTAAAGTTCATCGCTTTGACATTCATACCATTATTTCATTGAACACAATCGGTGATAAAACCAATAATTACATATCCACATCGTAATAATATCACTATCAGAAAAGGGTTCGGCTCGTTTATAACATTCATTAGATAAGAACTTGGTGCAGTTTTCGAAATAAGCTAACATGTTAATCAGCTTAAATAATGGGATTTAAAAACTTACATGCAGGTGTTTTAATTTGACAATGGCCATAGATGTTAAAAAAGTGGTGCAAGTTAGATGTGGGTTCTAGGTAGAGAATGGTGCATGCTGAACGTCGCCAAGTATGGTGCTCAGAACAAGCACAAGTGTGTAACTAACAATGCATGCAGTGTACATAGAGTAGTGCAGACATCAATATAAGTGTCCAAAGGCTATGCACACTTGATCTTCAAATCTTCAAAATGACTGAAAGACGAAAGAAAAAAACCCACAATGGATTCCTTCGAAAAGTATCTTCCTTGTTTAATCTTGACACGGTGAGTGAGCTCTAAGTGGTTGTTTATTTGAATTAAAAACAGATAAGATACCAACTTGAACTACTGACCAACATTTCATGTTGTCAAAACATGTTTAGTATAGTGAAAGTAATTTCTTACATATTGATGTAGGTGAAATGCCACCTCAGAATTCATGCCCCAATAATATTTCATTACAATAAGAATGGTTTAAATACTACTGCATAAACTATTTGAAGTTTTGGGTTTTGCACAATTTAATCTTGTAAATTGCACCAAATATGCTATAATATAGGAGGGAAGGGAAGTTATAATGGTATTTCATTTTCAGGCTCACGTTACAGCACCTGAAATGAAGCAGGTAAGTGTTTATTTTAGTTATTATTTTGAATACAAATAGTATAACAAAATATATATTACCTACTCAAATGATTTTTTTTTTATGGAATAAGGGTAACAAACGAGCACACAGTCCACCTGATGGTAAGTGTTTGTTATGGCCCATAGACATCCACATCTATCCTTGATTACAAATCAAAATGCAGATGCATTGTCACCCATGAGGACTAAGATGGAATGCCTCGTTTCCAATAAAAAGGGTCTCCGGTTCTCTACACTCACTATATGAAACACAGCAGCATTAAGCTGCTATGTTACACTGGTTTTCTGTGATAGTGTGGTCCTTCCCCAGTCGTGCAGACCCATTCGTGCTACAACTATACCAGTAATATATCTGTAGCATGGCTCTACTACAATCAAATGAATTATCTTCTTAAATGAAATATAGCTATAAGTAATTGGGTGCATATTTGTTAAAGAAACTGGAAAAATCTATTTAAGTATTTTATCTTTTAATCTGTACACAGAAGTAAATTATTAATACAATTTAAAATATGTTTTTTTTTTAAATAAAATAACACTTGTAAAGAATTACATACCAGTATTGATATAATTGTAAAAAATTATATCAATTTGTATAATCTATATACATTTTTATATCTACAAATTATTTAGATTAAACTACATTTTACGTAGTTACTTTAACAAGTATTATGAAATTTAGTTGTTTAAAAGCTAATCCAATGATAAGGAAATAAATATTGTTGAATATTGTACCTTATGATAAACTCTATCATAAGTACAATATTCAATAATATTGCACAAGTGACTACTTTTTTTAAATCTTTGTAACAGTGATACATTCAAGCTACAATATTCTTGGTAAAATTGTAATGTTTACTTAAAGAAGGTAACTTTTTTGCTTTCAAGAATGTTTAAATGATTGTATTATAATATGTTTAATTATTATGAATCATGTAATTGATAAATAATTTAGGTATTAATAAAGTGTAATATGTATAAATTACACTTTATAATACAACCTTATTATTTTAGTTTTATTTCTTAGTACTCCAACTAATTGATCTGATACAAAAGTTACAGATAAATGGCATAGAGGGTGGAGGATCAGAAAGGACAGTGGGTGATGATGGATCCTTATATTTGACAGTAGTACTTTCAAGAGCAGGAGGTGCTGGTCTTGGATTTAGTATTGCCGGAGGCTCTGACAATCCTCATGTTGCTGATGATCCACTGATATATGTCACTAAGCTTATACCTGGAGGAGCAGCAGCTGCCAGCCAACTACAGATAAATGATGCAATTTTACAGGTATGTTATACACTACCGTTACCATTTAAATGTAAAATTCAGAATAGTTGTAACAAAGAAAAGTAAGTATATATGAGTTAAAACAAATGGTTAAAATGTGTTTTAAGGATGTCATTATTGTAACTGCCACGTTATTTTGTTAATATGTATGTTATTTTTACAAACAGAACAAACATTGTTAATACCACATCATTTTGTCAATATGTTATTTTTATAAACAAAAATAATAAATTGATATTCATTGATTGTCATCATTCATATGCTTCAAGTAATATCACTTATAATTAGTACGAGTACTACTTTTAGTTTCCATAAAGTACATAATATTTTTTTATAAAATTTAAGTGACAAACAAACTTACTCTCACTGATGGTAACTGACTTGCGCAGCTCATAGATACCAGCAACCAACTTCAAATAAAGAAGGCTACAGATGTGTTGTCGCCTCTGAAGACTATGATGAAACGCCTCACATACATACATATAATCACGCCTCTTTCCCGTAGGGGTAGGCAGAGACCACTTCTTTCCACTTACTACGATCCTTACATACTTGTTTTGCTTCGTCCACTTTCATTATTCCCTTCATACATGCTCTACGGTTTAGGGTACTCTTGACCTGCTCTTGACCTTATACTAGCTCTTTATACTCTTTTGACTAAAAAACAGCAGTACATGCACCCTGCTATTTAGAAATAGGTAAACGGACGGTGCCTATCTATATGGATTTCTAGACTGAAAATAAATCCTGCCACTTACTAATATTCATTCATTATAATGACTGTCGGCCTTACTCTAAAAATCAACATCCTCTTGTCATCAAATAACTATAGTAAAAGACTGGTATAGAGGTAATTAATATTTAAATTAGGTAAATTTTATTCAACAGTTATGAGTGAGGCCAGTTATGTTAATTTTTTAATGTTGTGATTTCCCACACTTAACTACTCAATCAGTGAGTATACTACACTGGATTCAGCTGTGTGTTTAGTACATTTGTAATGAAAGAGTAACAACAACTGAAAGGTGTTTGTTAAATCAAAATTAAAATTCAATCAATTATTGACATGAAATTAATAGTTTAGTGTAATTTCAACATATTATGAAGTGTCTTAATATCCCATATTGAGCCAAAACATTATACAAATTCTGTTCTGTTTTTCCATATTGTTTGGCAGAAGAATTTGTTTATTAAGTGGGATCGCAATCATAGTACAAGAAGTCTTTTTCTCGTGAGCTGGTATTCAGATACAATCTCAAGCTTGGACTCAAACTTCACATCAAAAATTCAAAATTTGAGTTTAGTAATAAATTGTTTTTACTATTTTGGTATAATGATAAAGATTGAATATTATTCGTAACTCGATCAATAATATTCAGTTATTTCATTATCTTACAACATGAATCTTATCATACGTAAAAGTACACTGCTGGACATGTGCCCCTCCTATTGCAGAAAGGATTTGCGATATTGCTTGGCAGGTGGATTAAGTAATTCGTCAGTCTCTGTTTTTCTACGCCTGACTTATCTTTTTGACATATCCCACAAGCCATTGCCATCCCCTCTTACGACATGCACGGAAATGTGGCGATAGAATCTTTTACGCTACTACCTCACGGCAAAACATGAATCTATCAGAAATTAATTGGTTTTGTTATTCAGGTTAATGACACTAATGTTGAAAATGTGACTCATGCTGAGGCAGTAGATGCGTTAAAAAAAGCAGGCAACACTGTCAGACTGGTAAGTAATTATTTGTGAATATTCATCATTCGTTAATTAAATCGGTAGTAATTTTTGATTGCTTAGTAATGTAATTCCACCATATTACAGAAAGTAAGACGACGCATGGTAGAAGAAACGTTAACGGTACCTAACCTAACAAACAAAGAACAAGCTGTAGAAATTGAATTGGTCAAAGGGGGCTCAGGACTAGGTTTCAGTATAGCAGGTGGAGTTGGAAATCAACACATACCAGGAGATAATGGCATCTATGTGACAAAAATAATGTCAGGCGGGGCGGCACATCGCGACGGCAGACTAAGGGTTGGCGATAAACTTCTTATGGTTAAAAACACATCAGTGAGTAAACGTTATGATGATTATTTGAATTTTTTTACATTTATAGGTCTCTCAAGCATAGAATGTTGAGAATGATTTGTTTCAATAAATTTAATTCAATGAAGGCTACGAGAGGCATACACTTGACTTTTCTTGGCGTGATAAATTGGCGTAAATTCGTAACGAGGATGTCAACAGTAGAACAAGAGTAACTGACAGTAGCATATTGCTTCATATTAATAGAGCCATATGCTGAAGTGGAATTGAATCCGACATATTGCTTGAACAACCGATATAAAAGAAAGATTATCGATTGCAGCCTTGTAAGGCAATGATGACAATTCCACTAAATGGATTAACTTACTTGTGTTGGGTTCTGTAATGATGATTTTTCCCAAAGTTTTGTTAGAAAAGACCAAGAAAAGTACCAGAGACCAGGGAATAAAATAGTATAAACCACAGTTGACACTATTTTCCAAATTGCTGGTGTATAATTCATAGAATTAAGCTTAATTAATATTACGTAATTAAAATAGTGGGTTGATTATTTTGCATTCATATTAACATATAACCTATTTAAAATTTTGCAGAAAGGTGATGTTAACTTAGACAATGTGACCCATGAGGAAGCTGTAAGTGCATTAAAAGCATCTGGAGAACGGGTTCAGTTAGTTCTGATACCAGGACCAAGACACGGACAGCCATCACCACGCACATCTAGAGCCAATACACGTAAGATTATGTGAAATATATTATGAATTTATAAAATAATAGTAATCACTAATACCAATGGTTATGTTGAACAGACATTAACACATACAATAAGACTGACTAATGATAAATTTAGTATTTAAATACACTGGATGGTACGAGTTTATATTTATCACTTAATAAGTATTGTTTAGAGGACAAAAGATTAGTAAATAATATAACATTATAACATCAACATCAACTATGCTGATATTTGTTGTTCTAATGCCAATCAATCAAATTCTTGTTAACAAATTAGAATGACTACTAAATAACTGCATTAGGCTTATTGGCCGCACTTGACTAAAGTGGTTGCCTATTCAACAATGTAGATTCTCCAGGATACTATGCACCCTTTTCCCCATTTTTTTTTTATTTTTTTTATATACGATAATAATTATTTGACACATATACTCCTATGTAGCTAAAAACTAAATGATCTTTTTCTCGTGATGTTTACAATTTACATCTTGGTTCAGGTTACAATCTTTCTCTACAAGCTCCTTTATATTGGTCTAGTTTTATTTTTTAATTTTATCTTTTGAAGGTTAAGCGGTGAGGCTTTCGAATGAACTTCCAGCTTCTATAAAAATCATTATCCCTAATAAAATTATATAATTTTTTAACACCGAGTTAAGCTCAGTCGCCCAGGTATTAACCTCATTAAGTGTAGCACTATGAGAGAAGCCATTATATTTATACTCATTGTTAAAGCATAGCATTTATTGATTTTATAAATAATATGTCAAAGATATATTATATATTTTAAATATGCTGGTATTCTATTGGGGAATAGTTCTTCAATAAAAAAAATATCATAAACTAATCCATGTGTTTAACCAAGATTATAATTTACTAAATAACGTTACAGCATCCAGCACTGCTAATTCCTTACGACGCGAAGACGTAACGGATAGCAATGAGGAGCCGCGTGTAGTAGAACTCGAAAAGGGACCACAAGGCCTTGGTTTCAATATTGTTGGTGGTGAAGATGGGCATGGCATCTATGTTTCTTTCTTATTGGCTGGTGGCCCGGCTGAGAGATCAGGTGAACTGCGTAGAGGCGATAGACTACTTGCGGTTAACGATATTGATATAACGCACGCAACTCATGAACAAGCTGCTAAGGCATTAAAGGTATGTGATAAGAAAGGTTGCTATAATAAATGAATTCTTTATCTAACTATATGAATTAAAACATAATGTATGATCCAAATGCCATACATTTAGTTTATGCAGACGCGGTTCGCACCGCCGCGCCGCGAATTGTTTATAATGCACCATTTTCTAATTAAACTCAGTATGTGTAATAACTACTAAAGTAACAACATGTGTGCTTACTTTATACGCCACTCATACTGACGTACTCTCGTTTCATACTAACTTTAAACTACATAACTATTAACTAACTTAACTATCAAAGAAGCTGTATGTGTCGCAAACTGTGGCCCGTACACGTATTTTAAGTCTTTTTATTTTTTATAGTAATTTGTACTATTTTCTGTGATAAAAAAAAATGGACATAAAAAATAATTGGATTTAAAAATTAATTACTGTTTATTATTTTACTATGCACAAAAGGCAATTATTATGTTGTGATGTTAAGTGCTTCAAATTGTAGGGGGGATATTTGTCACAGTTGCTACGCTTGAGAGGCGGCAGGCTGGCAACTGCACTTTTTTATTTTTTTTATTAGTTATTAGGAAGAAGCTGCTGCCTAAGTTCCATGTGCAAGTTTTAGTTACCCTCTGTTGTCTCTTACGACACCCACGGGTTGATATGAGGTAGTTGCTATTTTAACGCCACCACTACACAGCACTGTGGTTGTTATTCTCATTTCTATAATAAAAGCAACCATGACCTTCATTTTCTTTCATGCATGTTGTAAAAGTCAATTATCGAAATATTAAAGAATATCTCATGGCTTCTGATACTGAAGGATGATGGAGTAATATTATGTATATATATACAAATTTAAAATACAAACCATTACCAACGAGATGTAAGATGTCTTATAAGGAGAGGTCAAGAGAGGTCAATGTCTAGTTGGACACTGTTTACAAATGAATAAAGAAAGAGTAATTATGTGTAGGTTCTAATGCAAAAGAAACCTATTAGTTTTTATTTTACCTTCTTGCTGTCATTTAATTAGATTGACGGAGTAGTCTTCTGCAGTGTTAGATACATTTTGAGAATGTCCAATGTATCTAACACTGCAGAAGTTTTCTTGTATATAATATTAGAAGTTCTCTTGTATATGATATTGGCTCACAGGCGGGTTCTTATTTAGGCCCTGTTTAGTTATCTTATCATACCCCTGATACACCTACATTTATCTTTAATTTTATGGACCACAATAAACAGCTCAGTAATTCTATGTGCATGTTCAATAAATAGAGACTGGTTCATATCAAGTTACAATTATTACTTTACAGGGCACAGGACAGAATGTAAAATTAACAGTAGTCTATCGGCCTCAAGAGTATAATAAATTCGAAGCCCGTATCAATGAGCTCAAACAGCATCATACACTTCTAAGGACGTCACAAAAGCGATCACTTTATGTTAGGTAAGAATTGCTTGAACTTGATTTATCCTGTAAATCTCAAATCATTTTCAACGGTATGATTATCCATAAAACCATAATCTAATTAATACAAAAAATTATTTTCTTATGAAGATTTTATACATCATAGGTTTAGCCACTGTGTATATTTCATAGTATGCTAACAATCCGAGTTTGGTGCCAGCGGGCACCAATGAAATTGTTAATCGTAATTTTAAGTTTTATATGTGATAGAGACAGGCTGCAGCTATATTAGTAGTCTAGTTGTAGCACGAATGGGTCGGCTTGACCGGAAGGAAGGACCCACACTCTCACAGAATACCTGCGTAAAATGGCAGCTTGACACTGCTGTGTTTCGTATGGTGAGTGTCGAGAACCAGAGACCCTTTTTACTGGAAAAGAGGCATTCCATCTTAGTCCTCACGGGTGACGACGCATCTGCATTTTGATTCTTTATTGAGGATAAATGTAGATGTCTATGTGTCACAGCAACCACTTACCATCAGGTGGACTGTGTGCTTGTTTGTCACCCTATCCTATAAAAAAAACGTAGTAGAGGCACACCGCAGCTTATTTATGATTGACACAAATAGGTCACCTCAACCATGGAACAGCCATTCCTGTACAAAATACCAGCTTAATGCTGCTTTGTTTCATTGCTTCGTAAGGTGAGTGTATAGAACTGGAGACCCGTCTTACTGTTAACAAGGAATTCCATCTTAGTCCTCAGGGGTATCTACTCTTCTGAATTTTGATTGTTAATCGAGGATAGATGTAGATGTCTATTGTTCACAGCATCCACTTACCTGTTTGTCTGTGGACTTTGTGCTCGTTTGTCGCTCTTACTCAATAAATAACTTTTTGTTGAATCACAGGTTTAATTCAAATAAAAGAATCGTACTATTTTTAAAAAGTCCGTTAGACGTGTTAAAATTGGTATTGATGAATCATAAATAAAATGAGTGATGTTACAATTAAGATGAGGACTGTCATAGTCAATTAGGTCATTGCCATATTTAGGTCCAATTGACATTACGGGATTGTTTTACTCCAGATTTGTGTGATTATTTTTGTGGAATGTTTTGTTTTTATTTTACTGATTATGTCTGGGCTGAATAAATTTTACGCTATTATTCTGTGAAAGCGCGCTCCCCTTCCCCGGTCGAGCCGATCCAATCGTACATATGGAGTAAGTCATAATTTTTATTTCTTTTTTTATTACAGAGCATTATTTGATTATGACCCTGTGAAAGATGATGGTTTACCCTCCAGAGGACTTCCATTCCGCTATGGAGATATACTTCACGTCACAAATGCTTCTGATGATGAATGGTGGCAGGCCAGGTAATTATTTATTTATTTATGCTTACGTACTGCCACATGTGTAATTGTTTCGGTAAACTTTCGTAAGTGAGCATAAATAGAAATGCCTAATCACTCACTTACCTCACTTGCACATAGTGCACTCTGATTTCTTTTAGACAAAACTAATGTGAGTGACAAATTAATTTTGTAACTCAAAGACCGGTGGTGATGACAAATAGCATTACATTTTTATGTTATATTAGTTGATTCTTAGTTGAGAGAGGGGATTTTGATAGAATATTCGATATATAATTAAAAACCTACTAAATAAAAATTTCATTTTTATTAATTTACAAGAAGTAAATTAAAATTTTTATTTCAAATCTGTGTTTTCAAAGCTACTACCACAAAGTTAGCTTTTATTTATGACAAGTAATTTTTCTTTGACATTAGCCATAATTGAATAATTTATCCTGTTCTAAAAATACATTTTTGTATTCATTGGTATGTGTTTAGTATGTCATGTGCCTCACCTTGTCATAAGATTAATTCATTATCATTCAGTGTGCGTGATTTGAATCGTACTCAAGTTGATTACTGACTGATTAATTATCATGATGCAACAATTTAAATGTGTGAATAAATAATAGCAATGTAGATGGCGTGCGGTGGCGTTGTAAGAGTATCCATCACGCCATTTCGTCATGTGGGTGTCATAAGAGGTGACTGTAGGATATGCCAGAAAGACCTAAGGGCTTTTGATAGATGGTATAAAAATCTCGTTTACGCCACCAGGTATAAAATATTCATATCGGCAACGGGCAGCGTCAAATGTGCGAAACATCTGGTATTGCCATCATCAGTCTACCCAAGCGTATTGATTATGCCCCAGCTATGGGAGAGGCCCATGTCTAGGTGTGGTCTTTTATGGGCTGATGATGAGGAAGTTTTTTTTATTTCTTATACTAATAATTGGAGTTTATAAAAGAAGTTACACTTAATAGTCTTTTGATTATATGATATGTTGTGACATTCTTTTCATGGGAAAGTGAAGTATAAAGTCTAAAGAAAGTTTCTTAGCTTTTTGGCTAATGTAAGCCAGTAATATACTACTATCCCACCTATGATGATATTACCAAAATTCCATTCAATTATAATGGAGGTCACATTATAATTTAATGGAAAGACACACTGACATCTCATTCCACTATGTCATCAACAAAGTGCTGTATACCTATCAAGCCTCTAGTTGCTTTTTTATGAGATAAGGGTAACAAATGAGCACACAGTCCACCTGATTATCTACATCTATCCTCAGTAACAAATCAAAATGCAGATGTGTTGTGACCCGTGAAGACTAAGATGGAATGCCTCGATTCCAGTAAAAAGGGTCTCCGGTTCTCTACACACACCATACGAAATACAGCAGTGTGAAGCTGCCATTTTACACTGGTATTCTGTGAGAGCATGGTCCTTCCACGGTCGAGCCATTCGTAACTATACTACTAATATAGCTGCAGCATGGCTACCACATATAAAACTTAAAATTATGTTTAACCACAACATACGAAATGCAGCAGAATTAAGCAGCTATTTCACGCTGGTATTCTGTGAGAGCGTGGTCCTACCCTGGTCGAGCCGACCCATTCGTGCTCTACCACATATAAACAGTATAAATACTGAGAGCCTGTGTTCAAGGCTGGCAATATTGGCTTTAACCAAATCAAGGTCACCATCTTAGCCTTATGTCTCGCATCTTTCTTATTGGGCCTTCATCATAATAACACTAACATAATTGAATAATTACTCCATTTTTACACACTTACAGAATTACATCAACTGGTTTCCTATTTTATATCAATAGCCTAGTAAGCTTAGGTTGTTATTAAAATTATTTTTAACTTTTATAAGTTTTATTGCTATTAAAAATTTAAAGGCGCTTCATTTTTATTCATTTTTTGTTTATCCCTTGATAGACATAGACAAATATACCATACGGCCGATTATTATATCGATTTTATACTTTGTGTATTCAATTTATTTTGGTAAACGTTATTAACTACCTGTTAAAATAACAGAGCGCTAAATTTAAAACACGTAAATAATATGTTTTAAAAGTCAGGAATACAATTTATTTTTTTCATCATAATTAAATAAAACACTCATCATCACACTCGTGCACTTTTGGATTTTCCAAACTATTTACATTTATATCAAGCCATCCATCTAATGTGTACAAAGCATTAGCTTACGGTACTATATTTTAGGTTTAAAAATGTATATGGTGTTTAAATTGGTATTACACCACACAGACGACTAGACACGACAGACGCGGAAGCAATTGGCATTATTCCATCGAAACGGCGTTGGGAAAGGAAACAGCGCGCACGGGATCGGCAGGTGAAATTCCAGGGTCAGGGAACTCCCGTGAGTACTGTAAGTTCTTAAAGTTTTTTTTTTGTTTTTATCTGTAATATAACCAGTAGTAACGCTTTATTCATCTTTAAATATATTTTTTGATTTTTAATTTGTATTTACTTTTTTTCTATTTTCTCTAATTTATATACAATGAGTATGTTATAAGTAACTTTTATTAAATGTTATTTTATTTTTCGACATTAGCTTTAGCATTACCTTTTAGTTATATTTAAAACACATGGAATATCTTTTTTAAGATTAAAATTCCTTTGCTACATAAAAAATACTACGGAACTATTCATCCAAAGCAAATAAACATTTCTGTACTACAGCAACGACTGCTACAACATCTTCAATTTTCTACACTCTAGTAGGTATGAGCGCCGCGGCGCATGACGGGCAACTTCCTAACCCGCTCACACGCGCGGCCCGACCGTATTAGTTTGCCTTGTCGCCTCGCCACGCTCGTCGCTCACTCAGTCGAGTCGGATATTTCACCGAGTGAACGTGTATTTTTGTGTGGTGTTAATAATGGCAGCAACTTCGACTGTTGCACGTATAGGCCGGATCAAGCAGGGGTGGTACCACGTGAAGTGGAAGATCTACTTCTCAAGCTACTCCCCTCCGGAGGAGGGACTTACCACTCCTGGGTGTATTCTGGAGGGGGGGGGGGGAATTCCCGAGTACAAATTGGAACACTCCTTGTGCCTCGGGCTCGAGTTTTCGTTTACATCAGAGAGTACATCTGTCCTCTACGCTTCGGCAGTCTTGAAGGACCTATCCATCCTTTGGCTACGCGTAGACAGCGACGACCATCCGCATATTTACGGGTGCCTCTATAGATCACATAGCGGTAATGCCGAAGCAGACCAATTCATCGAACACGTCCAAATGGCAACAGATTCCTTGCTACAGCAGATCCCATCCGCAGAGATTGTGATACTCAGCGATTGTAACGCCCACCACACCGAATGGCTCGGTTCATGTTTAACCGATCATGCGGGGAGATCTGTTCATGATTTTGCCTTGGCATAGGGTCGGACACAACTGGTAACTTCGCCTACGCGGATTCCAGATTTGGAAGATAATATACCTTCCCTGTTGGACCTTCTGCTGACCTCTCATTCAGATAGATATCAGGTCTCCGTCCACTCCCCTCTTGGCCCCTCAGATCATTGTCGAGTCCGGAGTGTGGTGCCAATCACACTAACATCGCGATTGCATTCTGCAGGCTGGCTAAAAAAGGCGACCGCTCAGACCCATCTAGCTATGCCTATCGCCATCACCTTGTTCTCCAAAATAATAGAATCCATTATAAATTGCCATCTAATGCGGTATCTTGAGGATCACCAGCTGATTTGTGACCGCCAATACGGTTTTCGTCGGGGTCGGTCAGCTGGTGATGTTCTGGTTTTACCTGACTCATAGATGGGCGGAGGTATAAGAGTCCAAGGGGAGGCATTAGCCGTTAGTTTGGACATTGCGAAGGCCTTTCTATCAGGTTTGGCACAAAGCTCTTCTTTCGAAGCTCCCTTTCTATAGGCTTCCCAAGAAATTTGCAACTGAATCACCAGCTTTCTTGCAGATCGGAGCATCTCCTCAGTTTCAAGGCACTCCCCTTGTTGCCTTAGCCAGTATCAGAATCCTCGGCGTCGACATATCGAGTGACGTGCAAGTTTCGTGATCACTTGGAAGAAAAGGCCAAATTGGCCTCTAAAAAGCGGGACAGTATTTCATGCCGGCACACCGCCTGCAACTTTACAAGGCGCAGGTTCGGCCTCACATGGAATACTGTTCCCATCACTGGGCTAGGGCTCCCCAGGGCTTTATTAAAAAATATAAAGCTGTTTTTGGTACAAATAATATGGTTTTCTTTAAGTTCTTTTAAAGAAATCTCTTTCTGATAAAACAATATCTAAGCAGCCACGCCGCGACGCCGCCGCCGTGGAATTGGGTTTCGGCGCTCATATCTATACTCTAGTACAAAGTCTGGTAAAAATATGCAGGATGCTCAATTATTTCAAATCCTGTTATCGTTTTTTTTTTATATAGAACTGAATTATCAAACGAACCCACAGGTCCACCTTATTGTAAGTGGCTATTGCCGTCCATGAACACCTACAGACAACTTAGTACAAAGAAGGCTAAAAATATACTGGCTCTTTATACCCTTTAACGGAATTAAGCAATGGAAGCATTGCTATTTGATATTAATTCATCTGGCTAATTTTTTTTTCTTCAGCCTTAAACCGAGGCACAACGATCTGCTATTTTAGGCGGCGCGCAACGGATTGACTTTTATTTTTAAAAGCAAAAGATAATGACTATTTATTTTTTTGGGTACCTTTACAGCCACTATCTACTTTTTTAAATAATTAAAAGATTTAGAATTATCAAATTTTTGTGAACGTCCCTATTATAAAAAATATACATGTCAAAGTTACGATTGTTACGCTTAATATTTGTGTTAAAGTTAAATCTATGTAAATACATTATTTGCAGAGCCAGTCTACGTTAGAGAGGAAAAAGAAGACATTATCATTCAGCAGAAAGTTTCCCTTTATGAAGAGCCGGGAGGACGGCAAATCAGAAGATGGTTCAGACCAAGAACGTACGTATTTTCAAATATTTAATAATTAGGCATCGATCACTAATAAAAAACTGGATACAAAATCCCATGGAAAAGTTCTCTATAAACTGTCGCCAATCGTTTTGATGTAATTCTAGTTGAAATAATAAAATTCAACCTTAAATGCATTGCCTAAAGTTGTATTCACAAAACTACCTAATATTTAAAAGTGCATCCATGTGTTCGAGTAGCTCATTCGGTATGGACATTTTTTGTCACTGATTGTGTATCTAGTTTTTTATTAGTGATCAATGTAATTAGGATAATATTATTGTGATATTTTAAAGCACATCATTTTTCTAGCTGTTAAACCCGACAAATCTATGTCACCAAATATTGTAACATAATGTTTGTATTTTTTTATGTCTGTATTAAAGATGGGAAAGTTAAATTGCTAGGACCCTCATACAATAATAATATTTTGTCTATAACGTAGTTTGAAGAGCATAACCCTCCCTAGGTATGCTCTCCAAACTTGTTTTAATGTAGTTCACCTAAAAGTCTGCACAATGATGGCAAATTGAATAAAATTTACTGTCATTATAAATGTATTTATATGCATTTTATTAAAAATACATACATATAAATAAATTTTGCGCTTAGGGACTTACCAATGACAAGTGAATTTATATATTCTGTAAGCCGCTATTTTTCCTAGTAACAAACTTAGACAGTGAAGAGTTCAGAAAAAAGGAACTAAATATATTTTGAATATTTTGTTCAGAACAAAATGCCATATCCCTGGGTTTACTAAAAGTAATATTTAAAACTCACGTAATATAATTTTCCACATGACAAGGAGAATAATATATAGATGCTCTATGAAACGTAAATAAACAAGAAAGTCAAACATAACTCACAAAACATTTTACTTAAAACAGTTGTCTAAGGCTTCGATATATATTTGCTTTTAAAGTATTCTTTCCGTCTATGAAAATGTATAAATTAATCAGTGTAAGTATTTTTACCATTACAAGACAAGGCGTTTTATACCAATTTGTTTTGTTACAGCTTTCATGCTTTGTTACACGCAGGAGGACGCTAACGCGGATGGTAAGTTACTATATTTTGCATTATATTTTTATATTTCCTGCTCTGTTGCAGTTCGTTATATATACATAGATGTTACAGGATAGCTGTTTGTTTATCGATCGTATTACAGTTGCGGATTTTTGAGATATGTGATACAAGTCTTGTCTTAAATAAAACTATTTGTTATTTTTGTATATAAGTATCAAATATTAATAATTTAAGTAAGTTTAATTCTCCTTATGATTCTTCAGTCTTGGGAGTTTATTAAGAGGATATCCAGGCGGCGTTTTGTCCATACAAAACTTATTCCTGTTTTTCCCTGAATAATGATATTAGACCAAATGTTTTTTTACCCTAATATAATATAATCTATATAGATATATAAACTGTCATGTTTTGCGTTTTCCATAAATTAATTATTTTAAAAACTAGTAAACTTTTAAAATAACTTAAATTGCCCAGTTATACCGCCATAATTAGACACCCAGCAATCAAATTATACATCAAATGATTTTAGTAATTTCTTCATAGTATTATCAGTCCGAGCTGCAGTTGTCTCTTTTGGTTGCTTAGCTCGGTTTTTCGTGCAGTTTGACAGCAATATATTGCTAAAAACTTATTCCCCAAATTTCTTAAATTCTAATATCCCCTTTAATGGCATTCCAAAAGAGATATGTATCCACTATAGAATGATATAATTTATATATTATATGATTACTAGTAGTAGTGTATTTGTATATACATTTTGTTTTATGCATATTATATTTATATTATGCTAACATATTCATGTATTTTCAAATTAAGAGAGTATGAAAAATACAACATACACATTTATTCATTATATAACGTTTATATCATCTAGTTACAACATCTACATTGAGTTATGATTTAATACTGTCATACGATCGGTCGTGTTAATATGTTAAGAACTACTTTATACTTGTGTTTTTTATATTGCCTTATAAAGCAACTTAATATAGATTTAATGAATTAAACATATCATAATATTAGGTTCTCTTAAAAAGTATAAAATTTCTTTGTTTCATGCAAAAATCTCTTAACTTGTCCATTACGAAAAATTTAGGTTGATATAGTTTCCGTTACTTTTCTTTTTAAATTAGTAATTAACAGGTAGGTGTATACAGATGGTTGTTATTTATTTTGAATTAAATTCAAACATTGATTTTTCTACAGTCTGTTAACATTGGTATTTTTCCTTTGAATTTCATGTAATATTTTAATTTTATAATTTATATTTAGACAATTTTTATATTAATTAATGCAATAACTATACTTCATTTATTTTGTTGGGTGCTACTATTAAATACATAACTTATATATCTTTATTATTTATATAGCATATTTGTTACCATGATTCCTTTAAGATTGTTATAACCTTATTCACATATTTAAGTAGTATGGAATTAATTGTACCGGTAGACAGTAGGTATCCAATTTTTTATACCATAGACGATATTGTAGAATATATATTTCAATTAAGTGTTGATAAAATATTAGTAGATATTAAAAATAAAAAATCATTACTCAATTAGGCATGTGTTTAATTAAAAATTGTGGTATCTTTTTAACGGTTATTTTGATGTATCTAATCGTGAAACACTTTTCTTTAATCTTTTCATGAGTTATTTTAGATAGAAAATGCAAATATTTGTTCTGATCCACGTAACATTTTTGTTCTGATCCACGTAACATTTCATTTCTTTTTTACTTATGTATACGTAATATTTTTTCGAACAAAAAGGAAAGAGTGATTAGGCTTTTGTTAATGAAATCAAATAAAATTAAGTGAAATTAAAATTATTTATTTGCCTGAAGCAAAAGATATATTTATTTTAGATTGATAAATTCTACGAGGTCGATTGTTTTAAATAATGCTTGCATGGAAAAGTAATTACGCAAGGTAGTGTTTGAATTAACCGATTTTGTATGTATGAATGTGAAGAAATTTTTATGATCAGTTTTCACCCACTTCTGGACCTCTGAAATTTTGCGGATATTAAGTACTGATAACAATACAGTGACTTAATAACTTTGACTTAGTATCCTCACTAGGACAATCACAGCTCTTGATCGCTTTGTGTTGTTTAATTTGTTTCTAATTTCAGACATTATTAAATTATAACTTTAATAAATCAGTCTGTTAAAAAGTTTCCAAGTAAATGCACGCATACCAGGAAACACTAGATCGCCAGTAGACTTAACAAGTCTGTTGCAGAAGATGTAAGAATGTGTGGATGAATACAAGTGTTTTGCATTATCTATCTAAAGAAACAATGGAGTTCAATCAAAAGACAAATTCGCAAAAGGAATAATTTAAAAAACGTGACTTACTTATAATTTTATTGATAGTTGTATTTTCATTGTGTAAAGATATGATGAATAATAGTTTCTAAAAACCTGACTTTTCCCTTCACCGATTACCATATTTAGTCAGTATTGAAAGATGTATAATTGCTAAAAATATTCCAAAAAAATGTTAAGAATAGTTTCCCACATATTTTATTTTGGTACCTCATTAAAATAAATCAATAAAACAAATAGGCCTACCGTGACTTAAATATAACATTGTCTATAATGTTGTAAATATTGTCTATAGTTCAATAATAATTTATTGACGTTCTTATTTTTATAGCACTAATAGGGATACTACTCGTGCATTAAATAATATTTGTAAAATTCAGTACATAACTAATAGATAGAGGTGGATAAAAGAAAGATAGAAATTAAAAAGAAATAAATCAATTATTTTTAAGTTAATGCTAGTAAACTAGCTAGGCAGAAAAGGAACAAAAAGTTCACAATAATACTATAATTTTGATTCTAATTTTTATCACGTTTGTAATTACCCAAAAAAAAAAACAAATTGCGAATATGACGTATGAGAATCGTGATTTTTAATAGTTTTGTGTTTTAATGTGAGGATAAATATAAATACCCACATTCATAAACAACAGGCTGGACTTTCTAATTTTTGCAATTAACTACCATTTAATAAGCATTAATTAATTATGTCATGTCTAATTGCATTAATAATAGTGTTTCCGTTTGGTTGTTTTACGTAAGTGAACATATCAAGTAGTATAATATTTTACAACGAGCAACTATACAAATACACTTAGCGCCATCTAGCAACCAGCTATCGATGTTGCAAAATTTCTACAAGATTGAAAAGCTGCATGTTAGCTTGCTTTTGTATTAAAATATGTAAGAGTTTACAACTTATAGCTTATAATGTAGCAGCGACAGCAAGTAGTAACCAGGTGTAACAACATAATATTTTATTTTGAATTAACATAATGTCGGGAGGAAGGAAAACGGAATCGGTCATAGTGAAATTCATTTGTTTAAATGTAGGTTTAGAGGGCTGAGTGTAACTTATCAGGTTATTAATATTCGCTTTGCACAGCTGTGTGGTTAGAAATAATAATAACAAGATAATAAGATTCTGTCGCAGCGAGCACACGGATTGGTGTAGGAAACATTCGGCCACCGTCCCGTGCTTCTAGTTGCCTGACCGGAGTCTCTACTATACATATATGTTTTCATGCGGTTATTGTGTCTTTTTATTTGCACTTTGTGTTATTGAGCGCTACTCTCTTAAATGTAGAAAATTTGCTAGCAAATAAATGTAATATGCCCCTGAAATCTTTTGCCATTTGATTGAATACCATAAATTATGCATTCAATGTTTCCTTTGGCCTTAACGCCCATGCGGTATCATGTAGAATATTTTTAAATGTATATAACATTAATTTTTCTACGTGTAGGGGAAATCTTGTACCGAGTGGAACTTCCCATGATGGAGGAGATAACGCTCATTTATCTCGAGGACGAGAGTAAGTTTTGGGAGTGAGGCGTAGCTTGCGAGTGCCGTAGCGGATACCTTACCTCCCGCATTCTGGTTATGATCATCAATTTAGAGACGTAGTTTTCATTTTCAATAACACTTCGAACTTTTATTATTATTTGTCATAAGTTTTGTTTAGTTTTTTTTTTTTTTTACTTTTCCTAATTCATACAACGCGATAATTCTAATAGCCTACCCACACACGAATATCTTGTCATCGACGCTCATAATGTTTGGTTCATTTCGTATTCAAAATTGAGATGTGACGTCGCGCTCTTTGGTGTTCGACGGGCCGCCGCAGTAAAGTCAGCATTGAAATTGACACGCGCCTCGATTAACTAGTTATGGAGGGAGAGTGGGGCCACTGGAAGCACACGAGGACACGAGAGCCGCCTCTATCACTGCTGACGCTTCCGCACGCGTTCCGCGCTTTGCCTTAAGTTATTTACATACGTCACTAGCATGACCTCTATACAATTGGAATTTCACGAAACAGTCATATCATACGGGCTTGTTTTAAGTGTTTTTTTTAGAATTCTGCTGTGCTGGTTTCCTTTGAGTATCAATTGTATGCCGCTTCGAACACTTAGTGATGCTGTAATTATTTTAATAGCCTAGCGGTTGCAAGGTGTTTTTTATGTGTAAATTTGCTTTTGTTACATGAAAATCGATAAATTTCGTATTTAAGCCAGAATTAAGTAGTTGTATCTGGTTTAATTCTGGCTCTTATAACTTGTGTCTATTTTATAAATAGTGAAACGCATGGACAAACTTCGTTGTACTTTTTTTTTGGCTTTTGTTTTAAGTACCTCATCTGGTCAGTAACGGTTTTAAAGATACATTTTTAAAATAATTAAAAAATACGTTGCAACTAGGTAAGGTGCTTATGAAATCGCTGTAACGCGCCAAATTAGTTAATGAAAAAGTAAGCCCTCATTATATAATGCAACGTTGAATATCGCACGTAGAGTGGTAACGATTTGACTCAGCCTATCATTATTTGCTCAGTACGGAACGTAATGAAGCACCTGTAAATAAATGAACCTTGGAAATAAATTAAGCGAGAGCTCATTTAGAAGTTAGTAGAGAAAAATATTAAGAACAATACAACTAGATTAGTCACCTAGCACGCCTCGCACGAATATAACTAAGGTTAATTATTTGTTATAACTTATTTAATGAATGACTAAAACAAATTCTCTGTTGTTTGTTCGTGCCAACGGTAATAGTTTTGCTTAATTAAATTAAGGCATGTTACATACACGGAATTTGTTTCAATAGTTAGCCTAGAATATTTAAATATTATTTTTATCTATAATTATCTTTAATTGAACATTTATTCTCTTTGTTCTCATAGAGAACACGTTACTTACGAAATATAATTAAAGGTTTAAGTCTCTAATCTGAATTTCGGAGAAGTTGAAACTTGAGTTATATTACGTATGCCAATGTGTTTTTTCGTGCATTACAGGTCAGGATGAGACCGTGTTATCGTATGAGACGGTTCAACAGTTGACGATTAACTACACGCGCCCTGTAATTATCCTGGGCCCTCTAAAGGACAGAATAAACGATGACCTAATTTCAGAGTTTCCGGACAAGTTTGGAAGCTGTGTGCCTCGTGAGTAACGTAATCTGTGTTTAAAAATAGTTATGCCTCCATAAATATTTATAGCAGTTGGATGCGAGTCAAGTTATTGGTGGTTCATTTGCGAGTGTCAATCTTCTATATTTCGGGATTACTATTGTATATCTCATATACGTTATCAAAGAAATAATTCTCATGTTGTTTTTTTTTTTTTTGTAGAATAAGGGTGACAAACGAGCACACAGCCCACCTGATGGTAAGTGGTTGCTGTGGCCCATAGACATCTACATCTATCTTCGTTTACGAATTAAAAAGCAGATGCGTTGTCACCCATGAGGACTAAGATAGAATGCCTCTTGTCCAGTAAAAAGGGTCTCCGGTTCTCTACACTCACCATACGAAACACAGCAGCATTAAGATGCTATTTTACGCTGGTATTCTGTGAGAGCGTGGTCCTTCCCCGGTCGAGCCGACCCATTCGTGCTACAACTATACTATTAATATAGGCGCAGCATGGCTCTACCACGTAAAAACAGTTACACAGATATTATAAACCGTATATAAATTGCTAAAGAAAAAATCTCTCAAATTCTTTTAGCCAAACCTAAAACCATCAAAGAAGATGACAGAGCGCTGCATACAAGTGCGTTTCAAGTAATGCCGAGATCATACTCAATTTGACGCATAAATCTATCTTCTTTCTTTAACAGCCCGTAAACCACGGCTTAACGCACCAATATGCACCTAAAACCATGTTCCCCATTTGCATCCAACCAGATTATCCGCAGTAAAACCAGAGTAACCGGCATAGCCCAACGGATTAGTAAGAACCGACAACCGATGGGGAAGAAAGTTTCTCGGGCGGTAGCCTCGTACCGGTAGACGAAGTGTAGGGCGGTCCCGCACTAGATGGAGTGACGACCCGGTAAGACATGCCGGAAGTCGATGGACACAGGTGGCTCAGGACCGTGTTACCTATGTTCAGCAGTGGACTTGTAAAGGGGTGTAATGATGATGATGATGATATGTGTACGTGAGTGTATGTCACAATAAGTTGAGCATGATTTTGGCTTAGTTTCAGCGTCACTTGAAATTTACGTAGCGCTTCGTCTATCTTTATTTGTTGGTCTGAGGTCCCAAACAACTTGAAAGATAATCCTATCAGTTTCCTAAATTATTTGTTAAAATGTTTTGATACAATATAACTATCTGTGATATTTACTCACATTCGTCAGAGCTACACCATAAATTCGCTTCCCTAATCTATGAATTGGCATTGTACTGTTAAGACAATGCCAATAAATAAAGACGAATTTGAAATAAACCATAAATTCGTTTTCCCTCATCTATGAATTGCCATTGTTGTTAACACTTACGAGTTTATAAAGACGATTGTCAAATAAAATCTTAATCAGGAAACTTAAATTTAACATTCGACACATTTGTAAACCCCGTCTAGTGGCGGGTAAGAATACCCACTACCCCATACAGAGGGAAACAGGTAGAAGATGGGCAGCAGCATCTTCCTGATAAAAGCAATAAAAAACTGCGGTTGCCAACCCGCTCGCCAAGAGTGGTAACTATGGCAATATACCCCCAATGAGCAATGACACTAATAAACGACCCCCAGTCCCCGGCGGCTCCGCTATTTCTGGCTAAGGTGGCGAACATGGTAACGGCGGGGCAGGGGGTGCTAAGAATTTACGTAACTTTAATACTGCTCGTATTGAAGAAGCGATCGAGCGGAACCAGGGCTCCAAAGTCTTTACCAGAGATCTGTCTGCCAGAAAGAGCCAACTGTCGAACACAAATCGATTATCGAGATTTAGGCTTCGGTGCGTTTCGCTTACGGCGCTACGACAGCGCCGCCACATAATTTTAATTTCTCAAAGAACCCTGCTTTTGTTACAAGTACTTTTCTTTACCCTAATTTTGATAAACATTTATCTGAATAGCGTCAAAAGGTTCATTACTAGTAAGACTTCTTAGTTGCCTAGGAGTTCGTCTGGGTAGACCAGTAGTTGGTACTACCCTCTTAAGTATTTCTGTCGCTAAGTATCAGCGCTTGCACTGCTGTGAGGCATTCCATTTTAGTCCTTAGAGGTGACAATGTATCTGTAGCCTTTTCGAATGATTTGAATGAAATGTATGTCAGGTAACTCATATATATATGTGATTTACTTGGCATACATTTCATATATATATATATATATATATATATATATATATATATATATATATATATATATATATATATATATATATATATTACATAGATTGGTGAGAATCATTGACTGACAAGATTAACTCCATAATTGTATTATGTTTCTTTAAAATAATGTAACCTAAAAATATATATTAATAAAAAGACGTAGACTTACAATCGATACTGATAATTAACACAATAGAATGATATAAAACGTTAAAACCAATCCAATCACTATTCACACCAGAGCTATATAACCACGGTCCCATTCAATGTGTCGAAGTGTATAAACTGATGCATGGCGTCTACGTTGTTTACTCTCTGGCGAACTTCGGTTGCCACAGAAGGGCACGTCACTTTATATTAATCGCAGTAGTCAAAGTTATTTATCTTAAAACAAATGATCAAAATAAAAATGTTTTTATCAGAAAAGTGCGCAAATTTACGTAAGTTAGAGGTAGTGTATGTAATCTTCGACGTAAAAAATCCATAGCAACTCGGTGTTGTGACGTCCGTCGGCTCTTAATCACACCTCCGATTGACTCCTGTATCCAAAGTTCCCTGCATTTTCATTTCATTAACAAACTTTCGTCAGATACTACTCGGCCGCGTCGTGATTACGAAGTGGACGGTCGCGATTACCACTTTGTGGCGAGTCGCGAGCAAATGGAGCGCGATATACAAAACCATCTGTTCATTGAGGCCGGCCAATATAACGACAATCTCTACGGCACGTCCGTCGCTTCCGTCCGGGAGGTCGCTGAGAAGGTAATTATCATTTAAACTTTTTGAGAAACTAATAGTATAGTTAACTGTGTAGTGGCGGTTTAAAAATATCCCCTACCTTATATCATACCGTGGGTGTCGTAAGAGGGGGCAGAGGGAAATTGAAACAGGAAATGATCAGCAGCATCTTCCTGAAAACAAGTCAAAATAAGAAAAACTGCGGTTGCCAACCCGCATGCTATGCATGGCAACTATTTCAAAACTCAAAATCAAAATCCCTATAAGCCAATCTGCAGGGAAGAGCTTTGTTCAGCAGTAGACTTTTATAGACTGTAATAGATGAAATGGAATAGTATAGTGTAATATTTTTAAATATTAGAAAAAATTATTTTGTGAATTTTGTAAAAAAAATTGACAATATTTATTGTCTATTTTTTTACCATAGCAACTTCAACTATATGTTGAAGTTGCTATGGTAAAAAAGTATGTTATAAATTTTTCCTCCGCAAATTTCTACGACTATCGAGCAGTTTGGCAATCTCAGTGTGCTGCAATCGCCGCAAAAATATTTTGAAATACTTATTTAATACATTTTTATTACAGGGTAAACATTGCATTTTGGACGTCAGCGGAAATGCCATAAAGAGATTACAAGTGGCGCAACTTTATCCTATTGCCATATTTATTAAACCAAAGAGTGTAGATTCTATAATGTAAGTAACTTTAAAAATATTATACAAATCCTCTTAATTTCATTATTAATCAACTTCAAAATGTTGGGAAGCTTCTCCTGTATGTTTTTTTAATATCCAAATAATATTATGCTTTCAAATTTGTTGTTAACCAGATCCAATGCTAAGTGTTAATCAATTTTTATATAATTTTAATTATTTATTATTCGCGTTTTCGGGTGTATATGTAAAAAACATATACTTGTTTTTAATTAATGACTGCATGCACTGTTATAGTTTAGTTCCGTGTATGTTTGCGACATTACTGCAGCACAGGCATCGTCATTCGTCACAGATAAGAAAAAAATGAAGTTACGGTTACGCAATTAAAGTAACGAAATATTTTCCAACCAATTTAATAAACTTTATAAATTGAGTTTGTTGTTTGACTATGCAGTACTTATGCGAAAATAATTACCAGAAGTTTAGTTATATTTACTGTATAAATAGTATATATGTATAACTAAATAAAAGAGTAAACTTTCTCTTACTTTTACGCTTTACTGTGATAAACCTAAATATAATAAAACTAAACAATACTACAAAATAAAGCACAATAAAAACATAAGGATTATTTTGTAATAATTACATTATTCACAACTTTATGTAAACACATGAATATAAATGAAAGGCATTGTCGCGAGCGTAATACCCTACCTTGCAACCTCGCCCACACCGACGATATGGACGTACTTCAGAGACGCATTTAAGTTTTGGGCGTACTACATGAACACTTAATATAGTAAAAATATTTTTTTTTAGGGAAATGAATAAGAGAATGACTGAAGATCAAGCTAAAAAAACATACGAACGTGCGTTGAAAATGGAACAAGAGTTCGCTGAATACTTCACTGGTAAGTAATCCAGTAGTTCTAAGCTTTATGTCTTAATAATATAAAATTTGGCGTTAACCCATTCATTTAAATTACATTACATTACATACATACATTTCATTTAAATTGTTTTTTAAATTCTTGAACAATATAATAATAGCTGGTTGTAACACAGATGTGTCGGCTCGACCGCAATAAGATCACGCTCTCACAGAATACCAGCGTAATAGCAGCTTAATGCCGCTGTGTTACGTATGGTGGGTGTAGAGAACCGGGGACCCTTTTTACTGGAAACGAGGCATTCCATTTTAGTCCTCACGGGGACAGCACATCTGCATTTTGATTCTTAATCGAGGATTGATCAGAGTGGACTGTGTGTTCGTTTGTCACCTTTAATCTATAAAAAAAAGTAGCAACGGTATGACCATATAATAATAGCTCGAAAAACGGACAACTGATGAGGAAGAAAGGTCCCTGATTAACGGCACACACAAACAATAGTAACAATGGTTTCTTTCCTTACCACTTATCATTGGCCACTTAGTAGACTACTCTTATCTCTTTGTGATTTTCTTCTTCAACAGTCTGTAAAATTTTAATGTTGTAAATGGGCATCCTGTTGTAGGGTGGATTTGCCGTAATTGCTACGCTTGGCAGGCGGTTTGGCGATACTTGACGTCGATATTCCTTCGTCGCCTCTTACGACACCCACGATGAAATGGGATGATGGATTTTCTTACGCTGCCACCATACTTTGGGCTTAATTACACACGCATACAAGCATACACAAATACACAACACACACATTCGCGCACTAGCACACACGCAAACATACATCATCTAACTCTTAATCTTAGCTTGCTTGCTTCACTTTGTTGTTAAAACCTTACTTTTATTTAAATAAATTTAATGTCAAATTCATAATGTATGTAGGAAAACGTATATTATTATATATATAATTATATTGGTTGTTATAACCATTTATGTATTATTATTACATACTCATAAGAGCTGTTGGTTTTCTAAATTAATAAATACATAGTGTATATATCATTGTATTTTTATATATTTCAACAGCGGTGGTGACGGGCGATACTCCAGAAGAGATCTATGCGAAAGTGAAGGCGGTGATCACGGCGGAGAGCGGCCCCACCGTGTGGGTGCCGCGCCGCGAGCCGCTGTGAACGGACGCACTTGCTCCCCCCGCCCCCACCTTACAGTACGCACTATAACGATGCCCGCCCTCGCCTTTTTAGCGATCCGTACGCGTTCGTGTTGCACAGAATCCAGAGACGGACTTTATCTTGTCGCTGTGACGTCACGATCGGGTAAGCGACAACATCAAAGCGGAGGCAATCTTTAATAAATTTATTATTACCAATTTGTTTTAGTTTCCACTGTACTTTACGTATTACTGGTAGCATTATATCGTTTTCTTCCAAGTCACTGACGAAGTAACATAAGTAACCGATTATATTTTTTTTATATGATATGCTTTCCTATGTAAATATTTAAAAGAGTACAATATAAAAATGTAGTTAAGGACAACAAAGTTAACCTCACGATTTCTAATCAAACTACTATCCGATCATGACGTCACAGCATCAAAATACGTGAGTCTAGATGCGCATGAAATCTTGAGAAACGTGCTACAGTCCTACGGTCCTACAGTCCTACGGTCCTACATACCGATGTTCCTGTTACGTGGGGAACTATTCGTCTGATTTTTAAAAAAATTCAATGATGTAGGTGGTTTCTTAAAGATTTAATCGTTCGTGTATTGATTCTCAAAATAGCTATTTGGGGATTTGGACGTGTGTTGTGTATCCTACAGTGACGTTAAGTGAAGATCGGAATCTCCTTTTAACGTTGATCAGTGAGTGACGGGGCTTTATTGAGCCACAATTTGAAGCAATACAGCCGTTCTCGAGAAAGTATCGTTTTCATAGTTAAAATTACGCTTGTAAAGATTGTTAAAGATGTTCCTCTACGAAAATTTCCTCTATCTTGCGATAATACTTCATTTAAAAACACGATACTTTGTTGTTAATGGCAAGTTCGAAGCAATAGGTGCGCTTCGTCGACTAACGCTCCGAGCTAGATGTGATAAAGCCGACTGCATTGTTATTACATCGCCACTTTTTAAACGCCTTATCTAAGGGCGAGTTTAGCGTAAGTTGGTTTTGAATTTCTAATTTAAATGTAAAATTTCCACTCGGGCGTATTTATTACTAACAGCTTTCACTGTAGAGTAACGCTTATGTTTTATTGTGCAAAGTCTAATAATATCTAGCGGTGACAAAATATGTGAGATGCAATGTTGACATTACAATTTTATTTATTGAAATTAAATGATAATTATGCTTGAATTATGTAAATTGTATATTATATAATTAAAAAGAAATATTCATGTTATTTTTAATCGGGTTGCTAGATACGTTCTTGAGCGCTAAGAATAATAATTACTATAGTAACCGTAATGTAACACATATTGAAGTTATTGCGTCGAATCACGGTGCACAGAAAACGTTGAATTATTACAAACTAGTTATATTAGTTGTTTATGGTACTGTGTAGTCGAACCCACCTCACGCGAGTCCTGCATGGCTAGGCTAAGAAATATTATAATAATATAATCAGAATAATTTGCTCAAGCGGCAATCTGTTTCTTGGTCATTGAATCTCATGACATTCAGCACTCCAGCCCTTCTTAACACTTGGCGATGTGCAAAGTTGTTTGTTGATAATTTTTATAGTAAGGAATTGTGTTATACGGTGTGAAAGTGTCTCACCATATAGTGTTTGACATTAATTTATTGAGAATTTTATTTTCTTACGGATTAAAAATGGGATGCCCATCTGCAAATATGGCGCTAGGATCGAGCAACCTCACGATGTGACGCATTATTGATGTTTCTAATAAAACATTTATTTTTATTATTATATTTTAAGTGCAATTATATACAACAAACGCTGTACTTAATTTTTTACATGTTTTTGTTTGCATGGCATTTGTGAATATCGAATTATTGTTTTCACAACATGAATAATGTTAGACAACATTGACAAAGAATTACGACTGACTATTTTAATATTTGATACATCCTTATTGACGAATAAGGGACCTATCAAAATAAGTTACCAAAGTTATTCAGTAATGGTACAAAAGTCACTGATATTGGCGGAAAGTTTTAATGGATTATTTATGTACTTAAGGTATTATTATATATTTATTCAACATTTCCCCAATGTTGTTTTAGTTGGTCGTGATTTTTATTAATAATTATGTAAATACAATTTATAAAGTGCATATTTAAATCTCAGTATTTGTAATTACGGTAAAGCTGATTGCTTTCGTGTGCCCACCTATTTAGTCAGTCGGGTGCACATGTAATGCCTTAATTTTATTATATTTTATTTTATAAATAAGTTAATCCGACCTAATTTTTTAACATTATTGTGAAATGATTTTGTTTTAAAAGCTATTTATTTTGTAATACTAAGATAATGTATTCAATTAATTGTTATGATTGTGTAAAATAATAAATAAATTTAATCTCTTTAACATTTTAGTATTTTAACATTTTATCGTAATCCCATATTTGCAGATGTACAATGTTTATCAGTTAGTGATGTTCAATAGACTAGTTTGAATAAAATTATTTACGTTAAAAATTCTACTCAGTGTTCTTATTTCAAACGTTCTCCTAAGTTATGCCACAAAGTTGCAATTGTAACCTTAATGAATTTATCAATAAGTTTTCTTTTAAAGTTCTACTGCATAGCATAGAATGACTTATTTTTTAGTGTTCCGTGCCAAGATAAAACACAACACTTATGGAATCACCACGGTGTATGTCTGTCTGTCTATCACGTAAGCGTTTATCAGAGAGTACTAATTTGCGAAAACGATAGATATTCTGCATCCAAATGGTGTTTCCAAAAAATCTTTCGGTATTTCTGCTCCTCACCGTAACTGAACATGCATCGCTGACAAAAATTTAAAAATTGTACGTGTAATTGTGTACACACGAACGAAGTAAAAAATTTTTACGACATCATTCTTTTATTTCATATTTTACATAATAAGTAGGTTAAATAATAGTTTACTCATACAAACCCTGCGGTGAAACGTTACAATAAAACGTGACGTTTTTGTTTTTTAATACTGACTAAATGTACTAAAACTTGTCGATAAAGAAGTTCACTTCAAAAACAGTCACAGATGAATATGGATAATATATATTGTAGGAAAATGATTGCTGTTGCGGTGTTATTTTTTAGAATTATTCTTCCAACAATTTCCTGAATCTGAACCATAGTAATAGTAATAAATCTGAATGTCGTAATCATTATCCACAGAACCCAAAATCACCCACAGCTCATCCGTTGACTCGCAAGCGTACTGCAGACAGCAGTGATTAGCAAAAAGGGTGCATCGACATTCTATGGCAGTTTGAATAAAAGTCATTACCTATACGGATATTTTTCGCGTGTAATTTTAATTTCTTAGGTTTAGAGTACTTTTCAGAACGCCATGGGCCTCTGTCACTCTTGCTACCTGCATGAAATAATTACCTACAATCGCGAGCTGCCCCAGGGGTAGATCACAGTCGGGGCTAGCGCGCTCTAGGCTTGAATGTTAAAGTTCTTTTAACGCTGTTTACGTAAATAATTTTTTGTAAATACTTGTTGAAATACTCGTCAAAATAGTTTTTGTTTAGTATATTTGATTGTAGGATAAAATAGTTGAAAATGTTTTAATGTAATTTAATAATAGTATATATGTATATTATCTATCTATCTACTATAATGGCAAAACGTCGTTCCTACTATAATTGTTGCGGGGATGGATGCTTAATAAACAATTAAAAGGATTCAAATATATCATTTTTTGAGTTGCCGAAGTATAATGAAAGGTAATTTTTTGTTAGATAGGTACTTATAGCGAAAAAATAATTAAGTAATAATTTAAGTACAGAAGTAATAACTAAGTACTTTATTACAAAACTTAGTTGAAATTTACTTCATTACCCAAGTACCTACTTACATACCTATACTTGTCTTTGTAATTAAAATATTTTAAGTTATAATAGCACAAAATACTGAAATTAAAACTTTGCTTACAAAGTTTTCAACTAAGTAGATTACGATCATATTTCTGTTAGTACTTAATGGTATTTCGGGTTTATTTTTTTGTTTACGTTATCTACCTATACGAACCAAGCATCGCGATTCCCGACGAATGGCCTTGCAATTTGCATGCGTTGGGCATGACAGAACTCACATAGTAGATAATATGATCGATTACAATCAGCATAGGTACTTTACCTAAGTAACTTACTATTTCACGATGTATTTTTTTACTCTTTATTAACTGCCCTTAGCAACCACGGAAAGTTCGTTGTGACGTAGTAGGGAGAAAAGATGCAAAGTAATACAGACACTCGGGCGCAGCGATAAAGTTTTATTTAGCTTGCGTGCGCGATTTATCTGATTAATAATAACTATGTAGGCTATTATAACGTCGGCAAGCAGTCAACATCAAAAGAGTGCAACTTCTGTACTTTTAACTGGAATAGAGGCATTCCATCTTAGTCCTCATGGGTGACGACGCATCTGCATTTTGATTCTTTGCTGAGAATAGATGTCTATGGGTCACAGCAACCACTTACCATCAGATGGACTGTGTGCTCGTTTGTCACAGTACCCTATTAAAAAAACAAAGCGCATCCGAATTGCTTAATCTGCGTGCTCTGGCGTAATGGTTAGTACTTAATAGTATGTTCTACGAAATATAGATCTTTAATCCATATAAAAGAGGTCTGCGATAACATAGTTCTATTTTTTATACATAAGCCACAATAAGGTATTTTGTGACAAAATATATTAAAAATTAAAAAATGATTTATGAGCGTTATTATTAAACATAGCATATTAATCCTTACGAACGAAAGTAACTTCATCATCAAGACAATTTTATGAACATAAAGTTTGCTCTTTGCAGCATGTTATTTGGACCAATAGTTTGAGATAATAAAAAAATAATATAATTCAACACAGCTCGGCGCGCGTACGACGCCTAGCCACCCGATGAGAACCGAAAGAGAATGTGAAAACGATTGTCGTCGTAAAATTACGAACGTTCGATATGGAGCAAGGATCTTGTTACAGAATTCTTGGC